CTTTTCTCAACAGATATTAGACCTGCTATCAAATGTGACCATAATGCGGTCTCTTTGAAAGTAGAAACTTCAGAGGAAATACGTGGGAGAGGTTATTGGAAAATAAACAACCAATTGTTAAATGATGCAGTGTATAAAGAAAATATCTCGAATATAATTAGAAAGGTTAAATTGAATGATTCGTTATGTGCACAAATGAAATGGGAAATTTGTAAAGTGAAAATTAAAGAATTTTCAATGAAATATTCAAAAGAAATTAGTAACAAGAAAAGAGTGATTTATGAAGATTTAGAAAAGAAATACCGTTCATTGCAAAAGGAAGTAAAATAGGAATCCCACTGAAGAAAATATGCAAGAGTTAAAAGATGTTCAAAATCAGGTTGATAATTTTTTAATTGAAAAATGTAAAGGAGCCTTCATCCGTTCCAGGAGAAAACGGTTAGAAGAAGGGGAAAATCAACCCGTCATTTCTTGCAGCTTGAAAAAAGAAATGGTATAAAAAAAGGAAATTGATTGTATAGAAAAGTTAGGAAAGAAATTTGTTAAACAGGAAAAGATATCATTCGAAATTTATAATTATTACAAAGATTTGTATCGTATAAAAGGTAATACCGAAAAAGAAGAATATATTGACAATTTTGTTCGTAATGTTCAGTTGACAACTTTAAAACAAAATTAGGCACTAAAGCTATGGTCACAAATCAGAGCAGCGACCGACCGATCAGTAGCCTGCTCGGTCGCTGCTGGAATTAAGCATAGCCCAGCAATTAGGTCGGTGCCCGGGCGGCGACCGACCGCCCAGGCACCGAGCGTATTTTGGGCGGCGAGTGAAAAATGAGCAGGTGCCGCCCAAATTTTAACTCCGCGCTAAAACTTCAGCGGCGACCGAGCGATGCCCTAAAAACGAGCGTTGCCTTCGCGGCCGCCGCTCGGTGGCCGTAAAGCACGTGATTACAAATGGTGTTTGGAAAGACTCGTTTATGTTAAATAGAAAAGTTGGTATTGATCAATTATTATTTGAGTTCGAATATGCAAAATTGAAGAAATGTTTCCCATGCTATTGGTTGAATAATTATACGTTCTACAGAATGTTGAATTAATTAGTAAACAAAACGATTCAAATTTAATTGAGGAAGCTACAGGAGATTTTGTTGATATATCTAGTTTCAAGACGAAACATTAATATTTATCCCTCCTGAAACAAAAACTTCAAAAACCCAATGTTACACGTTACTGGGAATATTACTTGAACTTACCTGTTTCTTTTAAATGGCAGAATGTATTCCATTTTAAATTTCAACAAATAGGAAATAATATGATAAAGCAAGTTAATTTTAAAATATTGCATAACATATTTCCATCAAAACATAATTCATGCAGATGGCGTATAATGAAAAATGACCAGTGTGATATATGTAAAGAAACAGAAAATACTTTTTATATCTTGTTAAAATGTAACAAGGTTAGAGTTTTTGGAAAATTATTGAAAATTTATATTATAATTACTTTCCTGAACAAATAAAAATTAATGAAAAAGCATTAGTTATAGGTTATTTTATTGAAAAAAGGGGAAAATTTGTGATAAACTTCTTGTTAATTTTAGGAAAATACATAATATACATAACGTATATTAAAGTTCGGTGCGATGGAAAAGAGTACAATAGTAAAAGTCTGTTCATTGATTTCAAATTAAAACTACGATATTACCTTAGAAAATAAAGAAAGTTTTTTATTGGCGAAATACAAAGACATTTTTCAAGAAATGTTAAGGTTATAACTAAATTTATTTAAATACTTTTTTTGTTATTATGTTAAAATGTAAATTGATGTAAATACACTGTTGCTCATAACGGTGGAATATTTTTTTTATCCCAATTTATGGAATTATTTTAAAAATAATTTAAAAATACTAGATCTAGATAATAGTATACAGTCTCAGATTTTATTGAATAATAATTTGCCAATATGTGTTTTGCGTGACTGCTAAAGCATGTATATTATGCAACTATGTTTATTAACTAGGGGACCTATGCCCTTAAGTCATAAATGACAGTAATGAGGATTAATGCCTCACAAAAGGGCACTAATATAGCACATCGACACGGTGTTGATCCTGGGGCCTCACAGTTACGAGGCCATTGCTTTGTCACTGAACCATGACCGTACGCAGCGGGGGCTATGGTAGGGGGCAGTTTCCATAAATTAAAAAAAAAACAGAAAATGCAATAAATTTTCAATAATTTATTGCATTCTACACCGGTCCCCAACATAAAAAAATCTTCTGTGTGCCCATGCCTTGAGCCATAATGCATGGCCGTCAAGAGGATTTGTTTATGTTGGGGACCGGGGTAGAATGCAATAAATTATTGAAAATTTATTGCATTTTCTGTTTTTTTTTTAATTTATGGAAACTGCCCCCTACCATAGCCCCCGCTGCGTACAGTCATGGTTCAGTGACAAAGCAATGGCCTCGTAACTGTGAGGCCCCAGGATCAACACCGTGTCGATGTGCTATATCAGAGCCCTTTTGTGAGGCATTAATCCTCATTACTGTCCTTTATGACTTAAGGGCATAGGTCCCCTAGTTGATAAACATAGTAGCATAATATACATGCTTCAGCAGTCACGCAAAACACATATTGGCAAATTATTATTCAATAAAATCTGAGACTGTATACTATTATCTAGATCTAGTATTTTTAAATTATTTTTAAAATAATTCCATAAATTGGGATAAACAAAAATATTCCACCGTTATGAGCAACAGTGTATATATGAAATGTGAAACATGTGAAATATGTGAAATAAAACAACTCGGTAAGAGGACAAGAAAAAAAATCCTTGCTATTTGATCTGCCATTGAATATACCACTATATATAGGTGATAAGTCAAGGAAACAGAATTAGCATTTAATATAAATTGAATCACATCAAATTTCGAAAGTTCGACCTAAGTCGAAAAATTGTTGTGCCCGACTCGGTAGGCCTAATATTCTTGTCCGACTATGATCAAATTCACCCATGAAATGACCGATTTTTATTTGCCCGAAATTATTAAATGTGAAGGTTCTTTGTTATCTATTAAACTTTTTTTCCTCCAAAACTCCCATTGTTCCCTACAGTAAACAATGACAGAGTCCTTAAACAGCCTTCCTTAGCATGTTTAGGAAGCAAATTCAGATTCACTGCTTGTAGTGGGGGCTGTTAGGGATATTTTGGTGCAGATTCTTCTAAAAGCACCAAATTTGGCCCAAAGGTAGATTATACCATACTATTACGATTTCTGCCGGACGCCAAGAAGGGCGCTCTCTGGGACTGCCATACTGGGCAAATCCAAAATGGCCGCCATTTGAGTTAAAGGTCAAGCGTAGTTCCAAAAGGAAAAGCGCTTGTATGATAATAGATTATATATTTATAGGGTTTTGAGGGTCAGAGAATCTGATTATGATGTTTTTTCATTTCAGACAGAGCACATATTATCACCCATCCTCCTTCGTCTCAACTGGTTACCTGTCAAAAAAACAATAGACTTCAATGGCCTACTTCTCACATACAAAATACTTAACGTCAAATCCCCTTCATATCTATGTGAGATAATCCACCCATATGTTCATGCCCGCACTCTCCGATCTCAGCAACAAAGTCTTCTACAAGTCCCACAACCTCCCCTTATATTCATAATGCCCCGACGGTCGATTCTTTCAAATCACTTCTGAAGACATCTATGTTCATCCAATAGTCTGTTAATCATGTGCTAGTTTATGTCAATTAATGTATTTCCTTACTACAATAGAATCGTAATTATTCTATTATAATTGTGTTCATAAGTTTATACCATTTATATTATATCTGAGCGTTTCATTATTGTATTTGATATGTATTTCTGTTAATTCATGCATATAATCTGTAGATTAATCATGTAATATATTGTATAATTAATAGTTGTAAAGCACATAGAGAATTTATTATTATGCGCTGTATAAAAAATGACTTTATTTATTATTATTTAGATGGATTAAAAAGCAGGCACATGTGACGTCATAATATAGCTTGGGATAGGATATTTCGGAGTAATTTGGCGTTGTTCTTTGCATTTATTATGTAATTGAATCTCGACCGAATAGATCAAAAATATATACTGTTACATACATTCACTTCACAAATCTTTCAATTTGAACATGGAGCATCAGTATATTGACCCAGATTTGTGTAGGGCAGGTACAGTATATCCACTTTCAAAATCTGTTTTACAAGAATCCCATTGTATCATCTTGGAAACGAACAAGCGGGAAAAGATAATACATGCTCATGGGACAGCATACTCAGGAAGTCCAATCAATATTTATATTGTTGTGTCTCTGATTAGTCTAGCCCCTTTTTGAAAGAATGCTCAGTGCACAAAAGCTCTGGGGCCTTTGCTAAATCTCCTCTCTTTGCTCATCTGTTATATGGGCTTTTTTTCTGGTTGGAATATGATGATTTTGGTATCGCTGGAAAGCTTATTGAATTATATGTGAATATAATACACTTTTCACAAACGAAGAACAAAGTAGAATGCTAAAATTGTGTTCAAAAGGACTGAAGTGAACATATATTTACATACCGAAAATACATGTTTAGAAAAAAAGTATCATACAGGCAGAGAACACTAACTATACCAAATGAATTTGATATGATAAAAAGCTAATAAAAAAACTCTACAACTTTGCTACACAACATTTATCTTCCAAATGTTCAAGTAAAAAGCTATAGCCTTCTAAAATTTGAGAGACCCTTAATTCTTAACGCAGAAGAAAATACACACTGCAATTACTGCAACGCACAGGGGGTTTACGGGCAAACGCAGAAACAGTTTATAATAAACGCATTTTATTTCAGCTGAAGTGCTCAAGTTTAATTAATTTCAATCTCATGATCAGGATTCGTTTATGATGATTTTTTTTTTAATAAGAGCAAATTGAAATCGCTTAATATTTCGTCTTTCTCTTTTTGTATTTCAGATGGCCAGTCTTCCTAAGGACGAAAATTTCTCCTTCAGTGACAAGGTAATAAGGGACAAAATAAATTGTAATATAATGATATTACAACAAATATTAATGATTTTAACAAGAAGAATGATAATAATATAAATTCATAAAGCGCACACACTATGCGAATCATTGCGCTTCAATAGCCCGTGATGTGCATGAAAAATACGGACATTTAAACGAAAATATGTGCCTTTAATTTTGATTTACAGGTACTTAAATACGGGAATTAACTCAATTCTAACTGAAAGTAATTCCACAATTTGTGGTTGCGCATGCAAATGCTCGATGTCCCAACGTTATTTTCTGTTTTTTTAACGAGATGGGTTTACAACTTAAAGAGAAGGTTGAGTTCTGGGGAGAGGTGAAAATTATTTGTGAGCGTTATTGTTGTATTGGTTTATTGAAATAAAAATCATCGGACATGCAGCTAAACGCTCAAATTGTTCAATTTACAAAGTAAAAAGTACATGGCCTAACATTGCATGAATAACACATTAAATTATGTAGAACACTTATAAAATATTGTGTATATTTAAATACGATTTACAAGTTTAATTGATAATATAAAATTCCCATTCGTTTTACATAAAATAGAGATTTGATAATTAACAATGTACAGGTTTATTGCAACAGTAATACGCAGGTGGGATAACATTTAGATGTTTATACAGATATAATACGATAAAAGATAAGATGTTAAAGCTAAGTTTCAATATTGATTTAACTAGGTGACTTTCCCGAACTCAACGAAATTGGCAAATTAATCTTACATCATAAACTGAAGAAACCTTGAATGCATTAAGTATAGTGATGATAAAGATTGTTATTATGCAAGTGAGGAAGAACGTCAGAGAAAAAAATGTTCCCTGAAAAGCATGGCTATTCATATGTCTATACATATTCTAACAGTAACAGCTTAAAAATGAGGACGAGATTTTTATGCCACATGTTTGTGTAGTCCCATGAACATCTTTATGTGTGCAGTGCTTGTTACTTTTACCAAGACTGGGCCAAATTTCTTATAATTTAGACGATTCCTTTCGTTTCTTTTCTCTTTCTTGTTGACGCTACGCATCATTATCTCACCGCAATCGCAGTTTGATCTCATGGCGTTGTTGATGAGACTTAAGCTTGAGCACAAACTGATAGGATTTACATCAGAGAGATGGGAGTCCTTAGAAGATCTGGAGAACGTTTACAAACCCCCGCACTTCCCGAAACCAAGTGTAAGTGTTATTAATATAGAGGATTTGCTTGTTGGACTTGTGCTAAAAGTATATATTTTGTTTAACATAGCCAGCATACTTCAAAGCCATTATATATTTCAACTAGCAGGACCCGCGGAAATCCGCGGGATTCTAGAGGGGGACGGGGGTGTAAATAGATATATAGAGACTGTCTAAATTAAAACCACCAAGAACTTTATTTGCCATTCAGGCCATTAAAAAATATACATGTTTAGCGTCCCCGCCCGCTTCCTTTTTGGGGGCCGCCTCCTATTTTTTTTTTTTTTGAATTTTTTTTCTGAAAGAAAAAAAACATGAAAAGCACTGCTAAAATGTATTTCTGATTTTAAAAAATAAAAAATAAAAATTGTCGGCCGCCATCTTGAAAAATAGCCCGAATGTCAGGGAAAATGTACGGACGCTATAAGCATGTTTTTTTTTTAATTTGGCCTTATATTAAATTAAAAAAACAATCCAAATGTACCGGTAGTTATTCTTTAAGCCACTGGAACTGCGTAGAGTTCTGTAGTGTGGCGTACCGACTACGCAGAAATTAGGCTGCGTATTAATGGGAAAATAGTCCCTTCGTAGGTTATGCGTAGGCTGGCGTACAGGTTTGCTTATGGTTGCTTACTGTGTGGAAAGCTTTTAATGCTTTGTCGATCTGGCGTAGGGTAGCGTACTGTTGAGTAGGCATGTAGCGTAGTGTTGCGAAAAAAGGCGTACTTTCTGCGTCAAGTTTCTACGCCTAAAGTACGCGAAAAAAATTAAACATGTTGAATTGTTTTCGTTCATCTTGCGTACCCCTTTCCGTCCCTCAGCATATAGTAACGTAGACCAGCGTAGGTGGTACGCAACACTACGCAACTCTACGTATTGACCCCACGCCAATTAGTGACCCGCAAGTGTCACAAATAAAGTATTAAAAATATGCTCATCTGACCCTAATTAAACGCCTAAAACCCCCGAGCTTTCGGGGGTTTATGGCCCCTTGAAACCCGTGTACCCCACGCCTATATTATATATACACTCAACTCGCTGCGATCTGATCTCTCCCCCCCCCCCCCCAACTTTGAAGAACGTAACCCCCGAGCTTTTGGGGGTTTATGGCCCCTTGAAACCCGTGGACCCCACGCCTATATTATATATACACTCAACTCAGGACCCGCGGAAATCCGCGGGATTCTAGAGGCAAAAATTAAGTTTTTCATTTCGGGGGCTCCATTTCAAATTTTCGGGGGCTACTTTTTCAACTTTCGGGGGCTCTTTTTTCTGGGGCTACTTTTTCATTAATTCATAAAAGGATAGGCCTACACTTTGTTGAGATTTGTTTAGTAGGCTAAGGTTTCAGGCTTCCTACTTCATAATTGCCTATTTAAAAAAAAAACAAACACATTTTTCTAGTTCAATAACTAAGTTTTCATGCATTGATTTGATGCAAGTACTGTAACATAATAGACCCTAGATTGTGATTATTTCTGACCATGAATTTCGATAATCATTTTTCAAAGTAAAATTTTCACAAGAAAATCAGACAGTCGTTTAAAAACCTAGACATTTGTAATAATACTACTAATTCTAAGCTCAGGTTTCGTAAATCTATTCACGAAACTAAATTGAAATCGCGGCAATAATGATGCAAACCAACAGATAACAATTTCAAAGTGTCAAATCTCTTCGACTCGAGCTCAGCTCAGCTGAACTTACACATACTTCAGCGTAACTCCTGGAAGCTCGAACACCGGCGCTTCCGACGCCTGCGGTGCGCGGTGCCGGTGTTGGAGCTTCCCGAGCAGCGCAGCTGCACTGTGTGTTGACTGAAGGCAGCTTGCGACTGAACTGTCAGTCCAATGGTTTTCTTGTGAAGACGTTCCTTTAGAAAATGAATATCAAAATTGAGTATACATGCCCGTAATAATCACAAAATAAGCTTTGATTTCATACCTCCATTCACGAAAACTATATAAAAATCGCGGCAATCATGATGGAAATAGGTCTCTAAGTTTGGACGTCGACGGGAAGCCCCGTTTATCTCTTGTGCAGCTACTACATGTAAAGCACGTCCTAGCTACAACAAAGCACATCCTATAGAAAGATGCTTTACTCGGGTAATCCCGACCCTGTGCATCGTGCATTTAATACGCAACTTAAAGGTATTACAAAGTTTTGGTATGGGGTCATGAATTTGGTTCAAATGAACATATTGGAAGCATATGCGACCCTACAATATTTAGTGATCGTTGTCGCGGTTAAAATTGAGTCTAAAGTTATGAAATTTTAAATAATACACTCTTTATGTTGTATAGCTCCCTCTCGAGGTCAAGATATTAATCAAGCTATAAAACAATGTTTCTTGACTAAAATCGACCAATTAGCTAATCCCGTTTGGAAATTATACATTACAACTACATATTCTGAGATTTTCATGGTCGCAGCTACCATTGTACGGCCGTAGGCGCTATTTGAAATTTATCAAAATTTACCGGGAGCACCGGTAAATTTTTATATTCAATTTTTCTCGAAAGCAAAAGTGTTTTAGTGGCTACATTTTCTAGTGCTTATTATACATCCACAGGGGCATCCAAATATATCAAAATTGTAAAGAATCACTATCCACCCAATTTTCAAAATGTCCCAAAACTTTGTATTACCTTTAATGTGAGTGGATGGTCATCGGTCGTGTGTCTACGGATGTAATGTTGAATATCCATGAGGTATCTCTGTCGTCACGCATATCCTGCATTATGCATATCGCGTCTGTTTTCGCCCTGGACGTCGACACGGAGGAGGAACTCGGGCGGAGTATAGCCAATTCCACAGAGTAGACTCTCCCCGGACGATGGCACCTGGCACCGGGACCCCGAGGGGAGGGTTCAGGAGCCTTAGCGTATTACTTATATAGATGTCCATTTTCGCCTGACCACAATGGAACGAGTGAGGGCTTGCGAGATCCGCCGCAGTGCAATTGAAACTCGCTTTTTTGCTCTTCTCCAACGCAAAAAGAGACGACATTGTGCTGGATTGATATGTTTTTTATTATACTTTTTGAAAGGTTACTCAAGTGACTCCTTGGCAAACCAATGCTGGAAAGAAACGCACTTTTTAGAAAACTTATTTATTCTATGCACGCAAGTCAGATTGAGCGGATGATACAACGTTTCCATATGCCCGACACCAACATATGTGGCACGTGCTCTTAGCCTGTAGGTTACGCTCTGAAGATGGTCCGCGTGAGAATGGTCTACAACTGGACTATTGACTGTTTTTAGTTATTATCATTCGCATTTTGGGGAGAGCGCATGTGTGTATGTGGGTGGGCGTGGAGGTTGTATGTGCGCTTGGGTTTGTGGATGTGTGTGAGGGTATATCTATCACTTGTTCAGTGCAGGATCATGGTATGGTCCGAGGGTAGATGAAGTTGAGAGTGAGGGTAACCATGATAAACATAAAAACCATGAACATGGTGTTAACTGACAAAATGGGCCACTATATTGCACCCGGGTAGAATCCCCCTCTCAATAATGATCATAACGTTACATATTTAGTATTTGTTGATAGATATGCATGATAACACACTTTTTAATCTAATTTATTGAGGGTTTTTTTCTTCAATAAAAGTCAATGGAAAACTGGAAGTCAGATAAGGAGTTCGGTAACCAGAGACTATCCGGATGCAACCCGGCTATGATCCGACTTTGCACGAAGATACCCCCCAAGTAAGTCTGCATTTATTCTTTAACGTCGATGTATTTAACATTTCAGTCTTAACGTAACATATATCTCTTTTAACTACTTTCTTCTCGTTTTTCAATTTGTTCAATGAAAAACACTAATAGGGCAGAGTATGCCAGTGACTTTGTTAAACTTAGACTAGCCATCCTTTCAGAGTGTCGTCCGGGGGGGGGGGGGGGGCAGGGGCTTTGCGTAATATTCAACTCAGTGAAAAAATCTCGGAAGCCTTTAAAGAATATGACGATGAAATTTTGTTTTTACTTAACGAAAAGAAGGAAAGGCAATATGCTCTCCGTCGTCCGTTTCAGGTACCAAAAGGTGAGTAAAGTATGTTAGGAATCTGAGCGTCGTGCATGTTATAGCTCGCGGGTTATTCAATGTTTGCACAAAACTCTCGCGAGTGTACATCTTCACGCAGATGCAAAGCTCAGTGAGAAGTGGTTTGTTTGTGGATTTAAAGGAGCTACACAAAGAATATTCACTAACAACTGATAATTAGAACAAATTATAAATGGATGGAAAGATTTTCTCTTGAAAAACACGAATAATTTGCTGAGAAATCATATAGATATCATGGAAAGGCGTAAAATGCAATTTGTCAAGACCCTTCTCAGACCCCCAAGCGCCCCGAACGTAAGCCAAACACACGAGCGTAGCGAGCTCTGAATAGTGACGTCACACACTGGACAAACAGCTCGGTACCGGAGTCGCGCGTGTATTAGTCTCCAGCTAGCCAGCCGTGTCCCGTGTTTGACGTCACAAATATTGACGCTCTACAAATTACCGCTAAAGGCAGAAAATCTGGATCTCAAAACTAACATTTTTAAGAGTTAATTACTGCGGGCCCCAAACATATTTTGAAGAGGAGAGTTGTTGTATTTGATCAGTAAGGCTCCCCCTTCGCAATGATATGAGTTTTGCATCAATTTAAAACACTTTTGATTCTTCGTGTGTCTACTTTAACAAACTACTCAAATGCACTCTCTAAGTTCAAGTATCTTAGGGCATATGGCGTGATTTTCAATTCAGTGCAGGCGCGTACACAAGGGGGGGGGGGGGGGGGGGGGGGGTTGGGGTTAAACCCCTTTCCCCCTTGAATTTTTTGTATGTGTATGTTTTATGTATGTTTTAGCGAAACCCCCCCCCCCCCTTTTTTGTGGTGTTTGTTGTTTTTTTGTTTTTTATTTAAAAAAAAAAAAAATATGCCAATGGCTGACCTAAAAAGGTGACCTTACCCCCCCCCCCCCCCCCAACGGACGAAATGCCAAATTTGCAAATTTCGAGACCGAAAAAAAAAAAAGTGTCCTCTTAACCTCCCCCCCCCCCCCCCCCCCCCCCCCCCCCCCCGTGGCTGCGTGTCTGGGCATACGGCGTGATTTTCAATTCAGTGACAATATCAGTGAGAAATGGTTTGTTTGTGGATTTAACAAACTACTTTATGCACTCTGTGATTTTCAATTCAGTGCCAAAATCACTGAAGCCTTTAAAGAATATAACGATAATATTTTGATTTTAGAAGAAAAAAAACATTGTTTGACTGTAAACCAATCACCTTGATTTAACTATGTCCGCATGTTTGTATTGTACAGAACATCGGGTCAAGGTGAAATATTAAATCATTGCTATTTTCAAGTGTACTGTAAACGTGTTTTGCATTAACTTTTGATCGTTTATAGTATCGGTTTCAAATGACTTTCTCTTCTTTTTTAATACATATTTTCTTCCCATTTTGTAAAATATATTATTAATGCAATAATAGAATTATTACTCTTCAAATGCACTCATATTTTGAATAATTATGACTAGACATACATGAAGTCATGATTTGATCAGACAATATAGTTTAATATCCCCAAATCTGTGTCTCGTGCATTTCATCGTTAGAAATTTTCAGAATTAGTTTATATTCATTATCTGCGCATTTAAATTCGTATTTTCGTCATTGAAATAAAATATTTATTCAAGCTATTCGTCAATTGTTCATTCAAAAAAGCATAACATGATAATGTGATCATGTACTCCTAACAAACTTTCTCTTAATGGATCTGAGGATTACGCCATATTACAGGTATCATATATCACGCGAGTATAACCTCTATACCATCAGTGTGTTTTTTCATTTGGAGCAAAACTTTTCTGAAAAGTGGGAGAAGAATTATGCGAGGAGAGGTGTATCCGGGTCTTTAAAACGCTGGAAACACATGAGCTTATGGGGTTATGCCCCTGGACCCCCGCCATTGGCCGCTGAGTTCACCCCGCTTGCTTTCATAGCTGTACTAAGACCCACAGCATCATGCTTCACCCCCCTCCTTATCCTAAAATCCTGCACACGCCCATGTTAACATTAAACCAAACAGACCATTCATGCGATTGCTAATTTTGGTAAACACAATCACACACACACACACGCCCACACAAAGATGTTCAAAACCCTTTAGTTGAGCTCGATGGACTTCTACAGGATAATACCATACTGATTGTAGGCAATTGAAATACGAAGAATAGAACAAATTAGAGTTTATAAGTTTTTGTTCCCTCCTCTCAGTTTCGCCGTGGACGACAAGGATGTTGAACCTCTTCTGGAAGGCCTAACTGTGTCGGAAGCCATCAAGAAGAAGCGTCTTTTCATCATCGATCTCAAGCTCCTCAAAGACTTGCCTTGTGCAGATGAGCGAAAGGTAATGAATTAATCCCATCTTGTTGTTACTGGACAGGTCTTTTCAAAAAAATTGCCGATGTAATATTTGTTTATTTATTAATTTTTATTGTATTTATATATTAGTATATATTTTTTTTTTGGTACCTATGAAAACAATTACAGAAAATATCATTCATAGATCGAATTCTTGTATTAAAAAATATAGCTATAAAATTCATTAAAAAAGAAAGGTTAGCAGCAAATGACTGAAAAGGCGTAATTTACAAATACCTTCGAGAAGTTTCGAATTCATTAAAAATGAATCAAGGAAAAAAATACGTCAAAAAAGCCTACGCCATAGAATTGAAAGTTACCTAGACGAGAAACATTTCATGTTAGCACGTACCTGTATGGTACGAGAAGTGAATGTTTTATAAATTTAATTCAACGATTCTTATCTCATATCTAATGGGGATTGGTTTATTCGAAGCAATGCATATTTGAAACCTTACTTTCTTCCGTCAGATCACTGCACCCATTGCGCTTTTCTTCGTCAACAAAGACAAATATTTGATGCCGGTCGCTATTCAGTTGAATCAAGACCCAGCTCCAAACAATCCGGTAAATATTGATAGTGATGATGATGATGATGATGATGAAGAAGACGGTGATTTTGTGATGATAATGGTGACGATAATGAAAATAGTGATGATGGTGATGTTGTCATGGTGATGGCGATGATCATGGTGATGATGATGGTGATTATGACGGCGATGATGATGATGAAAAAAAAAAAGTGTCCGCTTACACCAATTTTGTATCACCGATGACAACTTCATCAATTCATAACTCTCCTATTTTTTTTAAATCGGATATTATTCGAACTTTCACTGTTGTAATTATCTCATTTTCCCTGCTTTTATTAAGACCAAGATAACATCATTGTGGACTTTATTGCAGGTGTTCTACCCGACTGATCCCGAGTACACGTGGATCTTGGCCAAGTGTTACTTCAACTTGGGCGATGCTGCCGTCCATGAGTCGGTTTCCCACATTGGATCCACCCATCTCATTGGTGAAATCATCTGCATAGCAGCGCATCGTTCCCTGTCTCCATCTCATCCCATCTTCCGTCTTCTTGCTCCTCACTTCTTGTACCTCCTCGCCATCAACTAGTTAGGTTCTTTTATATGTTGAGCATTGCAGTATATTGTTAAAGATGTTAATGATAATGATAATAACAAACATATTAACAACAATATAATCATAATACTATTGATGATAATGATATTATCATAAAATAATAATGATAAGGATAACGATAATAGGAATAATGATCACAATAATAACAATGATAATAGCAATTCGTTACTATAAGTATATAACAAAAGACTACACAGACTTTTAAGAAATTAACTATGAACCCCCAAGGCATGTTTTTACCATATATTTTATTCAAAATCATTCATTTTATAGCAAAGGTTTAACGCCTTTGCTTGCAACGGGCGAATTTACCTACATAAATATGACCATTGGCGCCGTCGGTATGGCAGATGTCATCAAACGCTCCTACTCTACATGGCGATTCGACGTGGAGGGCTCCCTTCCGACTGACCTTCTTGTAAGGGGCGTCTCTGACCCTGAAGTGCTACCGAACTACCATTATCGTGATGACGCCTTGCTCCTACGTGGAGCAATATACGACTACGTCAAGGAAGTTGTGGACCACCATTACGGTAAAGTAACCACAATCGCGAACGCTTCTTAGAAATCAAGTCAAGGGCGATTTCAATACTCTACCTCTAATAGTAATCATGAACAGATTATGCCATTGTATTGCTCGCAGATTTTAAAAAAAGAAAGGCCATCGAAATTGCCTTAGGTTGAGTTTTTCAAAGAATTCGTGACTGGTATTGTCTTAATTCAGAGGAGAGGAAATTCACTTGCCATCAGGAACGATCTAACGCACCCTTTGGATGACTGATTTAATTTGAACGGATCTGGGCCCCATCTTAATAAAGAGTTCATATCAATCGCAACTTTGTACTTTAGAGAGAGAAGACTGCAAACTTGCGATTGACTGGGGGACTAATTGCGATTGATTTGGATCAATTGCAACTCTTTATAAGAAGGGGCCCTGGATTACATTTGTGTGTACCACGCAAGCGTCGGGCGATATTCAGTGTTTTGTTTGTGCCCAATGTTCTACTGTGAGGCGATAGTGTATGTGTAGGAGGGGGGGAGGACTGTGATGTGAATCAATCATTAATAGATATAAATATTTCGTTCACTCATACGCTATAGAGTACTATTTAGTTGATGAAATCAATATCCTTTTCCCGTATTTTCGTCTGGCACAAATTAGATTTATAACTTTCTTTAAACCTTGTTTTTGTATTTAAGAGAAAATAATAATCACATAATGAACATTCGTCATTGCACACGTACGTCTTTGTTTTCTTTAATTGTGTTGTGACATGATCCTTGTTATTCTTAACCAAGGGACAAATAATTTCTATATCACAGATGAATGATCAATAAATGTTCTCTCTCATCTAATTATGACGATAAATCGTTCCCTAATGCATCCCATATCGTTAATAAGTAAAAGGCATTGGAAATCCCTGTTCTTATTCAGACTTCAACAATTTATATTAAATCAGCGGCCAGTGAGGCTCCCTAAACGATTTCATCGGCTCGTTTGAATCATTCGGCCACCCTTTATGATCCCGGACAGACCTCAACGATTAAAAGATTTCAACGTCAACTGCACTGATTTATCTAAGAGTCGATCATTTTACTCCTTAACATAAGGAGAATGGCAAAAACAGGTGATCACCACAGATACCCATTATCTTCTTGGTGGGAAGAGACAATTGAATGTATTGTCAAAAAGTGTTAGTGCCGCGAATGGGACCCGAACCGTTTATCGTGTGTTTCACAGTCCAGTGACAAATCTACTAGACCACGGGACCTCTAAAATATCTTAAATGCCGCAGAATAGTAAACTCAGTTGCAGCTGGAGATAAAATGTTCATGTACCGTATACAATTTTACGTTGGCATGATAAATAAGATATTAAAAACTTATGTGTGTCTTAAGATTACGTATTCTAACAATATAGCAGATAAAATGAGACCGTATCGCTGCATTATTATTTTCTCATGCGTGTTTGTTTACTTCCAGATGTTCCCGGGAAGATAGCTGCCGACCATGAATTGCAGGAATGGATCCGGTTCATGGGGACCAAGCCTAAATTTGATGGAGAGGTCATAGGTCACATGAAGGTACTCCATACTATCCAAATGGCGTGGTTGAAAATCCACTCTTTTGAGGATTAATATGACTTTTATATCACTTCAGTTTTAGAGCGCCGCGTCGCATTTCTCTCTGTAGCCGCTCCAGCTTTGAGTAGCGGCTCATACAATTTAGGCTTAATAATAAACATGGGGATAGAAAATAGGATTTCACTTTAAAAGCAGCAAAAATGTTGGAGAAAAATTAAGTATCGGTGTTATGCTGAGACCTTAGACAAATTTTTGTTGTTGATAAAGCGGATCAAATCGGTAGCAACGTTATAATTTCCAAGTATAAATATATAATAATATTTAAAAATGTGCGGTTGATTCATTTTGTGAGGTCCCGTATTAGAACTCGTTGATATTGTTCAATGAGTATTGAGGCTTACCGTGCTCTACAACAGACGGATCTTGTTTTCAAAAATGTGAAAATAGCTCATTTTAAATAAAAATGGGGCTAATGACTCTCAGAAATAATGTCATGAAAAGGGGCAAACAAGTTTTAAAGGCATGGTATTATTTTACTGAAATAATGAGATTCAGAGTTTTTTTTAAAGATTTTTTAGACCTGTATTTGACAAATAAAAATATTAAAAGATGAAATAAAAACGCTCATAGGAATTATGCCTAATGTTTTGTTTATACTAGTAGAAACGTTTTTATCTATGGACCTATCGCATACCATCGTCCATTGATTGATCAATAAATTCGCTGATACCCATTTTTCTTTTTCTCTCTCTCTCTCTCTCTTAGGGACTTCCTAATGATGGCCATTTTGAAACCGCGGAAGAGATCACCACCTTTGTTACGGATTGTATCTTTATCTTTAGCGCTGCTCATGCTGCAGCGAACTTCGGCCAGTATGATAACTATGGTTTTCCCCCGGCCTACCCTCTCTGGATGAATGGATCACCGCCGCAGGATAAGGTAAGATTGAGATGGGACAACGATCGAGTGCGCATATCAAGTCCATTCGGAAATTTATCTCCCGAGATATACACATTAAAATGATAAATGCGGCTAATTTGCGGCTATTAAACGAGACGCGAAATTATTTTGTATTGTTTAACAAAAGCCATAGATTGGCCGATGGAAGCCTTTCAAATTTACCCCATAAAATAAGCAACTCTGAACCTTAAATTACGTAACTTAACCTTCATCCGATCAGACTCACGCATTTTAGACTTGGGTTTTATTACATGAGTATATTTTGTTTGGTGGGGGTGCCAAACTATTAAAGAGTATGGCACTTGAATTTCTATCAATATTATTATTATGATTATCATTATCATTATTACTACTTTTATTATGATGATGATGATTATTATAATGATGACGTTTGTTATTATTATTATTATTTTTATCAGTATCATAGTTATTATAATTATTATTGTAATTTTGAATTGTTATCAATTATTATATCATTATTACTTTAAATATTATCACTATTTTATCACCATTATGATTATTATTTTTATTATCGTTAATGATTATCATTGTTATTACTGTTATCATTATCAAATTACATTCTTATTGTTATTAATTCCATCATTTATGTTGCTGTTGTTATTGTTTTTATTGTTACACAACCACTTTTGAATATTAGTATTCTTTATTTCTCAAGACTCCTCTCACGGAGGCAGACATCGTCAAGAATCTACCCAACAAGGATCAGACCTTGAACACCATGGTATTCACAAAGATCCTCAGCACCCGAGGCAGCAAGCCTCTGGGAGACTTTGAGGTGCAGTACATGCATGGTGCTACCTATCAAAAGGCCTTGAAGAAGTAAGTTTCAGAGCTTTCTGCAATTTTAAGATTTGGTGAAAGACGAGATGTGCAGAATCTAGTACCATTGCACTCATGATCATTCACTATTTGTGTAATATTAGGTGGCGAGGTGCCGGTATACAGTACGTTAAATCGTTTCTAGTTCTAATTTGTTATCATTTTGAAAATGTCTCCTCCTTTGTTATTCCTGCTTGTTCACTAAATTAAGGGGGATAATTGTCCTCGGGGGTTATTTTTCTCGGGGGGGGGGGGGTAATTGTCCGGGGGATGATTGCCCAGGGGGTAATTGTCCTAGAATCGTCACAGAGCTGCCAATTCCTGTTTTTATTGATCGTAACTACAAAATATAAAGCTTTCCTATTTTTAAACAGATTTGGCTAAAGACTTTCACTGATCGGTTACTTTAATTGTTCTGATCTAATAAAAAACAAACTAATTATCATCAGGGTTGCCTTCCCATTGAGTCAATAGAGTACAAATATATATCCATTAATGTATATTCATATTCCCCCCCACCCCTTTCCCCTCTCCCTCTCCATCTCTCTCTCTATCTCTCTCTCTCTCTCTCTCTCATTCTCTCCCCTAGATTCCGAGCTGAACTCAAACGCATTGGAGACATAATCGACAAACGGAATGAGACAAGAGAAGAGAAGTATCTTTGGCTTCATCCACGCGAAGTGCCTAACTCTATCGCAATCTAGCTCCTAAATGTCAAGAGAGAAAATACATCAAATAGCTGTTGACTTTGTTGAGTAAAAATAGAATAAAGTTCGTTGTGGATAGTCGATCTTTTAATGGTTATGGATTAATCTTTTGAAGATACACATGTACACAGAATAGAGACTTCGTGAAACACAAGTTTGCGATTTTCTGCTTGCGTAAATGTTAGAAAATGTCTATTTAGATATACGTTAAGAAAATTCTAACTTTTGAACAGTTTGTTTTTCAAGTCCTAACCTTTAATTTAAACAAACGTTGTGTTCCTTGATTATACATGCATTTACATCGTTCTTTGATATTCTGTGGCATGGTCATGTTTTTATATCTAGTATATATGCTAAGATTTTGTTTTTACCACGGGGATTTGCATGTACTGCATGTACTCATTCGTTATATTCTGTGTCATGGTCATGTTTTTGTAAGCTAAGAATGTTTGTTTCCACGAGGTTTTCATGTTTGTACTCATTCTTATATATTCTGTGTCATGGTAATGATTTTATATCTAGTACGCTAAGAATTTGTGTTTCCAAGAGGTTTTCCTGTATGCACTCATTCTTTGGCAAGGCCATGGAAAATAGAATAACATCTTTTGAAATGTGGATTTACAGAAGAATGATGAAAATATCCTGGAAACGAATGAAAACCAACAAAGAGATATTGCACATGCCAGGGTGTAAACAAATTGCACTAGTAGGATTAATTAAGGAAAGAAAAATCAATACTTTGGTCATGTTAAAAAGGCACCAAAGCCTCTTAAAGGAAGTATTTTGGAAGGAAAAGTGGAAGGAAGTAGACTGAGAGGGAGACCCAGAATCAACTGGGAAGAGAATGTCAAGAACTGGAGTGGACTAAAACTGCAAGAGTGCACCAGAATGGCAGAAGATAGAGTGAAATGGAGAGATGTTGCAATCAACCTCCGAACCGGGAGAAGATACTTAGATAGATAGACTCATTCTTTATATTCTGTGTCACGATCTTGTTTTTATATCTGGTATGCTAGACAAAATATTTCCACGGGGATTTGCATGTATGTACTCATTCTTTTATATTCTGTATCATGATCATGTTTTTATATTTAGTATGGTAAGAAATTTTGTTTCCACGGGGAATTTATGTTAATCATGTACTACTTGTGGTTTCTGGAATGGTTTTTGTTATGACAGTTTGCATATTATATCCTTCTAGTTGAGGTTGGATCAATTCAGCTATTTTCTCTGTACGACTCGACATGAACAATGTTATTTGTATGTTTTTGTTTATAGGGACGTGTAGGATTTATAGTAACAGTAGCATTTATTTTAGATGGGTGTCTGTATGATATTTTTAATCATTTAAATACACATTATTGCTCAGTTGTCCTTATTCTGCAATGTGTATGTTTTTAATTTGTGTATTTTCATTCACAAAATATGGTGTGACATGTTGATCATGCATATTCCCTTGTGTTTACGTACATTTGTTATCTGCTTGCTTTAATGTGTTCACCTTTCTGCATTAATCATGTTACATACATGTAATTTAACTACAGGAATTGTATGCACTACTCGTGTAAAACTCTGTAAAAAAGCATTGTTATGCTAACAACGCTGAGTAGGGCCATCCCTCCGTTTTCCTTTTTAAGAAGTGTGTCTTGATGATCGTAAATTTATATTTTGTTGATGTTTTTTTTTTTTATTCACGGAAAATAAATACAATACAATAGTTTAAATACAAGACAGTATATAAATATATATAGGGCCCAGGAGTTCCGTGTGCCAGAATTTAAACTCTTGAAAGGAATAAAAAACGAGCTGTCCGTTCAACAGAGAACTGAAGAAAAGAAGAGATTAGAAGTATAAAGTTGAACAAAGTTTATTAACTGAAATACGTTAACAGCTGCTGCCATCGGCATTCAAATGCAAGTATAGGTTAAATATGGTTGATGCAAAGATAATGAATCATTGGCGAAATTACAGCAACATGTACTCATGTACCAATATCTGAGCTCAGTATAACATTGTCATAACAGGTTGAGTACTCAATTAAATGCTGCAAATTATAGCAGAGTAAAAATTACCGATCAAGTATTTCCGGTTTCAATGATTTACTGTTCATTCATTCCGGAGAAATTAATATTTCGTATAAATACAAAAACCTGTTGCGTAGGGGTCCAGCGGATGCGTCACGCGATTTGCAAACTGGGACAGTTTGATGAAAACTTGAAAAGCGACGCATTTGACTGCACTCAGTCAAACCGCCAACGTGACGCCACGTTCTTGGCCTTTCCAGACGATGTGCATTTTTGTTCCGTCTGCTGCCGGTGTGGATGGCCCATATATTGCCCTTTTAATATGCTGTTGTTTTTTTAACGAGTCCGTTTATTCTACCGAAAGGCTTGAGAGGCACCTTTTTGTAAACACATGATGTGCTTGGTAGCGACTTATATTTACATGATTCATCACCCAATTCATCAATTTCACACTGGGGTGATCGCCCAGGGGATAATTGTCCTTGAACCAAGAAGCTGTAATGAATGGAGATCACGTCCAAGAGGTCCCTTTGAAGCCATCCGTGGCACCGCGCGTCTTTTGTTTCCCCCACCCTAATCCCCTTAACCCCTCTCCGAGACCTTACAGCTCCCTATTGGCTCTAAGTCCTCCCGTTCCACCCACAGCCCAGGCCAGCGAGCACGGCGGCTTATGCGTTGCCGGCCCGTAATTGGGGTGAAAAGTGGTGATGAATCGACAACTTCTAACCATCGTTCAACAAATGCGCTAACAAACAACACAATTTTATTTAGTTCTTTAGGGAGATGAACCTTTGGACTATCTTCCTAGCTATAAACAAATTTCGGAAATTTTCGGCAAATGTAAATGTCAATCATGATGATGAAAACCTTACATTCGCTCCAACTCACGATTTCCTTGGTCGATTTTGCTGGTTGAAATGGTTTCGTCTTCAGTAGAGCTATCCGAGCACGAACAAAGCATTTGATAACCAAAATAAAGTTTCATTGGTCATATGTCGGGAATTCTGTGTTTTATATGTTATAGCTAAATACATCTTCACTGAACATGACCTAATTTGTTCGGTGCCACGCATGTCTTCAAAGCTCGATGCCTGCATATTTGTACGACAGAGTAAATAGAGAACTTCGGGAAGCAGACGGCGTTGCGTAACATTTCGTAATATTTGGAATACTAGAGGAGAACTGTGCATTGATATGGTCAGCTGTTGGTGGATTTGATAGCTGGATTGTTGTTGTTGTTGTTGGGTTTATCGGCGCTATCCATCGATTCCGATGATTTCCGCCAGGCTGTGTGTGAGGGCGTCTTGCTCTCACTTCTGCTGCTCTACGTTTCTGTGATTCTGATACTTGCCCAGTGTGTGAGATAAAGATTTATCTTGGCCTTTGTTATTGGCGAAGTGCAAGATTATGGGGGTTAATGTGCTCGTTACTCTTTATTTTTTAGACATTTAGTGTTAGAGCTGGTTGGAATTAATATCATGAGGTTTCGATACGATATCATATGCCTTTTCCAAGTCTAAGAAAAGTACCACCGTATATTCTCTGTTAATCATCCCTTTCTGTATATCCGTTTCCAGCCTTATTATTTGATCAACAGTGCTTCTTTTTTTCCTAAATTCGGACTGGATAGGGGTAATAATATTATTCTTCTCCATATACCAAGTCATTCTGTTCTTTATCAACCTTTCCTAGTACCGGTGTAAGGGAAACTGGTCGGTATGATAGTGGATTGGAGGCGTCCTTTCCTTTCTTTAAAATTGGAATTTGTATCGCTTCTGCCCATTGACTTGGCAGTAAGCCCAGGTCCCATATTTCATTGAATAACTCTAAGACAGTGTTAACTAACTTATCTGATAGATTCCATATCATTTTGGCTTGTATGTCATCCTTACCTGGCGCAGTGTCCTTTATTATAGAGATTGCAATTTCCAATTCTCTTATACTAAAATTATCGTTGAGCGCATTGTCTTCAAGTTCGTTTGTATTTTTAATGATGTTTTTAAGTATATCCTCTTTCCTTTTCCTCCTGTCTAATTCTTTCTTATCTACGCTTGAATTTATAAAATTGAAACATTGAAGGAAAATGGCTGTTTTTTCTTCTGCCGACTTCGCAATAGTCTTTCCACTGTCCATAATCAAATTAGGTATCTGGGATTTACTACCTTCTTTCATACCTTTTATCCTTTTCCGTACTGAACTAATGTTCACCAATCGATTTAACTTTCCACAGTAGTCTTTCCAATACTCCCTTTTCGCTTTTCTGAAAATGGCCTCAAAGTCATTATAAAGAAATGTTTTATACATCAATCTATTTTTAGCCCGCCTTGTTCCACCAAGGTACCGGCGATTTGTCAGTATGCTTGGGTTTACTCCCTTTCATTTGTTTATCAAAAGCAGCTAGCATGGTACCTACTAATAAATCGTATTTTCCTTGGATGTCTAAATCACAGCTCTTTTTTCTTATATCCTCGAAGTGTGAGCCCATTTCCATCTCATAAAATTCCCAGTTTATGTTTGTGTGTCTTCTAGTCATAACTGTTTTTTGTTTTTGTGTTGTTTCAAAATTATTCTGTATTTTTGAGAACATGTTAAAACTTATGACAAAGTGGTCGCTTCCAAAATTATGTCTTGAGACCGACCATTGGGTACGACCACTCAGTTCCTTAGACATGAACGTAAGGTCCAAACAGGATAGACCCCCACTATGAGGAGCCATTCCGGTTGGAGTACAATCATTAAGTAAAACTAGATCATATTTGTTCATAAAATCTTCCAGAGTCTTACCGTTTACATCCAAACTGGTGCTACCCCACAGTGGATTATGGGAGTTGAAGTCACCACACACTATAACCTGTTCTTTACAATTCACCATAATTTCGTCCAGCAAAGAGGTGATGATTTTCTTACATGTGTTGTAGAAATTTATGAGAGAAAAAAATACGATTTTGTAAAAAGATGTCTACAACCTGATACTCCCTATCTTCGGGGACGTTCAGCACTCTAAATGTTATAGACGAGTGTATATATATATATATATATATAGCTAGGCCTCCGCGCCTATTCTTTTTAACCAAATGGTAGTTAGGAAAATGTACCAGATTGAAATCATCATACCATGTTTCTTGTATACACATAATTCCAGGTTTCTCGTGTATAGAAACATTTTTAATTATACTAGCATAAAAATCAAAACCATGAGCATTCATGGATTGCGAGTTCCACTGTAATATCTTAAAACATGATTACTATGGTGGTCAGTGCGAGGGTCATAGTGGTCTTGGCAGATAATTTCGAATAGTATCGAGAAAACCAATAAAATAAAATAAAAGGTAAACGAGCAATATTCATGATATTTGTGTTGCCAACGCCACATGCCGTACGGAACTGGTTTCTGCCCCCTCTCTCTATCATTCATTAGAAGTTGCTAGTCTCTCGTATAT